CCACGGGCGCCCCACGCCAAGCACAGGCTCAGCACACTCGCTCCTGGCAGTCCCCCAGGGGCCGCAGGCCTGGGCGGGCAGCTGCCCCACACCTGGAAAGCCTCCCCGATAGCACCGGGGCTGCAGCAGCAGCATGGAAGCTCTGTAACAGCAAAGGAGCAATAGTGGTGCTCCAGGAATCCCACCCAGCAGGTACAGATCACTCACCTGCAGAGCACACGGCCTCCAGCCCCGATCCCTCGCTCACTGCCTCTTTTCTCTCTTTTCAGATGGTTCTGGTGATGCCTACTTGGTGCTCCAGATTCAGACTGCTCTCAATCGCTGTGCTGAATGCTCAGACCGATGAACCGATTTCCTCTGCAAGAGGAAAAGCCTTCAGGGAGGAAAGCCTGTCATCTTTGTCCCTGTGCCACACACCGTGTTATAAGCCAGGCCCAGGAGCAGTGACGCCCAAGAGAGGGAATAGGAATGGGAGAGACAGGGTCTGGGAGCCAGAGAACACAGCCTCTGGGACTGGCACAGGGCTGAGTGAGGGAAAAGAGGGGGAATCCCATTGCCTGAGCAAGTGAGTGCAGGGCCCACTGCACTGGTGTGTCTGGGAAAAGGGCAAAATGCAGAGAGTAACTTAAAACCTGTAAACTGAACATGAGGACTGGCATTCCCACAGAAAAGATCTCTGTCTGAGAGTAAAAATTACATACAACCACAGATTTCACTGCAAGGATGAGAGGTCTAAGTCACCTAAGTCAATGGCAAGGCCAGGTGAGAGGTCAAGGATGTGCTGGACTTTGCAAACACCTCCCTTCTTCTGCTGCTTGCAGGGGACTGCTGTGCTCTGCAGGTGCCTTGCTCTGCTGGCAGAGGGTCTTCCTCTGATAAAGAGTCTTCATCACTCTTGGCAGAAGCCTCCTTGGTCACTGTTTGGGTGGAAGGACCCAGACAAAGAAGGGTGCAGGCTGTGCCCTGCCTGCATGATCACCCCCTTGTGTGATCAGTTTGATCCCAGTTCCAGCAGTTCACCTTCACTAAGGCCACCAGGGACTGTCTGAGATGCTTTGCTCCCACCTGGGATGGTGCCTTCCCCCATGCTCTCTGCATTCCCCAACACAGACAGACTGACAACTTAAATGACAAAGCATGGCCAGCTGCCTTGATTTTCTGTCTCCTTTTGTAGCTAGACACCCTCAGTCTGCCTGAAGCTAAACACAGCCAACAACTGTTGCTCCTGAACCACTGCATGGCAAAAGCAGCTTTGATCAGTTCAGTTTGCTGGGACAAAGAGCTCGAGGGGAACATGAGGCCAAAGGCCTGAAGAAAAGGGTTTGTCCCAGAAACACCACTAGAAAGAGAACTCTCTGCAAGTGGGGAACAGCTGGGATGGCATTGTGTTCATCTCAGAGAGGGAGAAAACCTGCCTCATCAAAGGCACTTTCCTCTCATTTGCCACCATTGTTGTGCGTGTGACATCTCTGTGATTATATTGACACCAGAAGTGCCCAGCACTGTCTGCAAAGTGACTCAGTAATGCTGTCTCCCCTTGATTTTCTCTGCAGGTTATCTCATGGCTCCGCCCAAGCGTTGAGATGAAGGGTGGTCAGAAATTGCAAGGGCTGGCAAGTACCCTGAAGATCTCACATGACAACCCATGGCACACCTTGTCCTACAGGACAGCTGCCTTTACAGGTCTATACCATGCTCGATGACAATTTGTAATATTCATAAAGCCTTAACTCCCACAGCCCTGGGATGAGGCAAGAAACTTGAATTGTTAGCCCCTGGAACACTGTAGAGAAAAGTTCCATGGGGACAAAGAACAGCTAGCAAAGAACATTTTTATATCAATTCCCTGACGTTTGCATCCAGACGCTCAATTTTTGCACGCGTGCTGCTGACAGCGTTAATATGAGTAATAAGACTCTGCAGATCAAACTCAGCCGACAAGTGCCTGACAAGACAGCCCAGAAAAAACAGCCTGTTCTCTGCAGCATCCCACACCAAAGACCTGCAGGAGCCTGCCCTTTCCTCAGAAAGCAGCCTGGCTTCTCAGCAGAACCCCACGAGGAACAGGGCTCACCAGACAAGGGGGGACAGGCTGGGTGCACACTAATGAGTGAGGCTGAAGAGAGACCCATCCCAGCCTGGTGCACACTAATGAGTGAGGCTGAAGGCTGTCAAGCCTCCTGTGTTGGCTCTCCCTCCTCCCCTCCATCCCGGGAGGGAGCAGTGCCCTTTCCGAGGCCAAGTTCGCATTCAGCCCTCGTGCCTCCAGCACGGCCCCCGCAAACAAACTGACCTTTCCAGCTGGTTTCAGGTCATTAATTAGGCATGCTGCCTCCATGTTTATGCATCTCTTCCACTCCTCGACTCCAGCATCACTTCCAGCATTGTCTCCATTGCGGGGAACTGGGACTATTCTCCCCTGTTGCCTCTCGGGGAGAAGGAGCTGAGAAACGTTCATGCTGTCTGGGAGCTGCTCACGGTACGAAGCAATCCACATATGGAGAGAGAATCTCTGGGAAAGATCGCTATGGTAATAAGCTGCAAAATGTGTGTTTTGAGCAAGCAGCCCCAGGAATTGTTTATTTCCAGAAAAGCAGTGAGATTCTGGCAAGGGAAAGTTTAAAAAATACCAGTGAAGGACCGAGACTTGCTTTTTAGACAGTCTAGTTCAGGCTAGAGAAACTGGACAAACATAAAACTATGTCAAGGCATGGCAGACTCCTGGGGGGACGACATGAAAGGGGCAACCACTGGAACAAGGTGCAGAAATTATTGCTCAGCAGAAGCTTTCAAGAGCAACTTGACACAAGCATAAAAGAGGGAAGCATTGTAGCTGTGGGTGCTGTGCACCAGAGGTAAACAGCAGTCACAGTTTGCTTTGCATGAGGTTTGTGATTTGCACTGATCTCAATATTTGCATATCCATGGCAGGAAGCCTTTGTTGTAGCTGTGTATTTTGATCATGCTGCTGGGCTTATCTGAATGTATCAAAGCAGGGTGTCTTTCAGGAGGATTTGCCTAACTAACTGTTTAGTTACCCTTGGGAGTAAGGCATTGAAATCCCATGGCTCATGACCCTCTCTGGACTAATGACTGAGTAGCCCTTCACAGCAGCTCCAATTTGCTCAGTTTTCCTGCAGGTCCAGGACAAGCCAGCAAAGAGGCACCTAACTCACACAAAAATATTGTTTTCCCTTTTACTGTGTTAACCCCAGGAGGAAAAACAGCATAGGAGCTATCAGGGAAGAGGCACAGACATTCTGCAGGCAAACCTGGCTTTGCCACTGCAAAGTAATACAGCAACCACACCATCCATTTCTAGGCAGATGTTTCAAATGTTGTGATTCCTATTTTCCTTCTATTTCTAAATTAAATTCAAAAACTGTCTAGTGGGGCCACCCCTCCAGCTGCTTTGAGACCCCAGGCACATTTCTTCCCACACACATTCAGACCCACAACCCTTCCATTCCCCACCCCTGCTGCACATGAGAGTTTGGGGTTTACTCTTTCCACAGATCTCACAGCAATAGCCCCTGAAGAGCCAAGCATGTTTTTCAACAGAGTTTTTCTGAACTCAGCTGCTGGATGTACTTTTCCAAGTCATTTGAATAAATCAGTAGGAATTGGATACAGCAGCAGTGGTCTGTGCTAGCACCTAATCCCCCTGCGAGCAGGGATGCTGCCATGGTATCAGATGTTCAGAGGGGAAGGAAAGGAGACACACTGAATATTACCTACAGTGGCAGTTCTTTACTGCCCACATCTGCAGACAGCTGGCTCAAAACAGCACAAGATGGATGCTGCATGACTACCTGCTCCTCAGGTGGTTTTTTTACAAACAACTTGAAAGCTCTGCTTGCCTTTCCTCTGCTGTTCGGGTTGCCTGCCCTGTTCAGCAGGCTTTTAACTACCAGATTTGATTGCACAGCCCTAAATCAACAGCCAAAAGAAACATTTCCATGCTACAGATTATAGCATGGCAGAGTCAGGGGTGAGGCTGACATGGGGATTGTGCTCATGCAAGCCTCTGGTTTATTTGTTCAGTATTTTCCCTCTTGCTTCTGCCTGGTGTCACGGTGGCCTCTGGAACATAAAAGGCTCATTTCAGCCCTGCAGGAGGAGTGCTGCACAAGAAACCTCCCTGGCTGGCTGTGTGTAACTGGCTTGTGTCCCTCAGGCACTTCAATGCTTGTGGGAGAAGGGAGAGGGAAATGTGCTTTTTCTCTCTGCAACACCCACAAATACACACACACACACACCCACACACCTCTGTGCCAAGCATAAGGTGGGTGTGTTTTTATGAAGTGTTGTTTTCTTTATTCAGTTCCCTGTTTGGGACTTTTCCTTCCTCACTGCATTCTGCAACATGGCCAGAACTAAACACCAGGGGGTCATCCCTCAGTGCTGGGGAGCAGCTCCATTCCCCTCCCCAGGCTTCCCAGAGTGCCAGCTCACAAGACAGATCCCACTGAAATGAGCCAAGAACTGTGGAAACAGTAAAAAATAAACCAAACGCCTATGGACCATTCCTAACATACTACAGAGGCCTTCCATACTGCTCCCTGTCTCGCTCAGGGGACTGAGTCATTGCCTCTCCTAAAACCCTGAACCAGACTATAGTGGGCTTTTCCAGACCTAAGGACCACATAGCCAAAACACAGTGAAAACACAGCCAAATCCTTCCAGCCCTGGCCAGACCTAGGGTAGGTGACACTCCCCAGTCTCTGGCCTCACTTCTGCCTGGAGGCTGCCCACACACAGCCTTGCTCCTGTGGCCATTCCCTGATCTGCTCCCATGCAAATACTCCCCTCAGCAGCAATGCCCAGCAAGAAATAACCAAGCCAGAAGCACTGCCACACTCCTGGAACCAGAGCAAGCAGGTCAGTGTTCCAGCCAGTCACAAAGGAAATGGCTCTCCAAGTCTGCACTGCAACAGCTCACCCTGAGAGGTGGTGATTGCCCCATTGCTAAAAGTGTTCATGGCCAGGTTGGTTGGGGCACTGAGCAACCTGATCTAGTTGGAGTTGGGTTGGATTGGATTAGATGACCTTTAAAATACCTTCCGACCCATACTATTCTATGATTCTATGAAAAGCAGGTGATCCTGGGCGTGCAGAGTGGCACCCAGGTCAGTATTCAGAGAGCAGAAATGTTGGGCACCTTACAACCTTCCCTGAATGAAAGCAATAAAGTTTCTGCATCTCAACAAGCTGCCCTTCATGAGCAGAGTCAGCCTGTGTTTAAGACGAAATTGAGACCGCATCCCTTCAAAGCATTTAATTTCCCGGCGGGGAGATGCTGGCATTCAGTTACTCAGCTGAGGAGTAACTCATTCCTTCAAGTTCCACTCCCCAGTGCCCAAATGTGTGCATCTGCCCTTTCCCTCCCCGTTCTCCATGATCTACTTTGCTGCCTCTGGGGCAGGGGCTGCCGTCACCAGCATTTGTTCAATCCCTTTTGCGAAGGCAGGAGAGCCCCAGGTGAGCTGTAACTCTCTGGTCCATCACCCATCCCCAAACTCCTCTGCACAGACAGAGCAATGCTTCCAGTGAAGCAAACAGCTCTGAAAAGAGATGGCACAACAGAGAGCAGCCATGCAGGGATTGCAATTCCCACCTGCCAAGGTGTGGGTCTCACAGCAGGTTCAGGTCCTCGTGGGAAAGGGGAAGCAGATCACACACCCTCTTCAAAAGCCAGACCACAGTAAATTGCTACAGCAGGAGACAGCTTTCTGTACGTCCCTGTGTCAGGCAGCTTTGCCATCTGTGCCTAACACAGCTTGCCCTGCCTACATCACTGCAGGGTGGCAGCACTGGAGTTAAAAAGATCAAAGAGTCAGGGTGGCAGCAGCAGTTCTTGAAGGCTGAACTGTATAAGACATCCAGGGAATAATTGCCTGAAATTGCTGAGTTCCCAGAAAGCAGAGCACGTCAGCGTGGTTCCACAGGGAGGGAGGCCAACAGGGAACACAGAGAGACTTCCCAAGCTTTCCCTCACTCCTTACCTCACCATCTAGTGGCAAAAGCAAATAATACTGAGGAGCCATCCAGGAACTGCAGCAGCTCTGAAAGGAGAGTGTGCTTAGATCAGCTGCCTCAGCTGGGGACACAGAGGGGGACACAGGCAGCACGCAGAGCCCTGCAAGTGCCCCAGCCCTAAATCACAGTCCTGCACTAACACTGCTCTGCACTCCCCTCCCAGATGGATCCCTGCCCACCCCGTGCCTCTGTGTCCCCATTGTCCCCATGCTGGCTGTAGCCACAGGCTCCTGTAAGTTCTCCCACGGGCAGCAGTTCTTCCACCCGTTCTCAGAAAGGCCCCAGCTCCCAAGGGGACAGAAGGCACAGACAGCAGGGCAAACCCAGCTCTCCTGCAATCAGGCTGAGCCAAGCCCCCAGGAAAAGACGTCATGGTGAGCAGAGCCCTTCCAAGGTGAGACTTTTCCTTCCCCACCTCAGCTGAGTTATTAACCAGAGGTGCAGCAAGAAGGGGAAAAAAGGTGGAAAGGGACACATACCTCCAAGGAAAAACCTTCACTGTGGCTCAGCTGGGTGTTACAAGTACCTGGGGTGCTGGCAAGAGCTTGCCTTCATCAGCTTTGCAGAGCTGCTTTCTCCCTGTGCTGCCCCTTTGCCATCAGGCCATGCCAAAGGGGAGAGCTCCACCAAGGCCAGGCCTCCTTTCCACATCCCAGCCACAATCCAGCCACTTGGCATGGCAGGAGTGCTTGCACACAATCTGCTCCAGGAGAGGGAAGGAGAGGACACCTGCCTGCAGGGAGACTACCCAGAATGGGGAGGTCACAGCAGGTCCAGCCCCCAGAGCAGAGCCAGGTGCTGCCCCACATTTGAACTCCAGTTGGTCCATGGTCCCACACCTTCCTGGCCTGTGTGGTGACAGCCAGGTGAGCCAAAACCAGAGCAGAACAATCTTCATCTGGTGGGCAGAGGACAAAGGGTTCTTCTCTCCAGGGCCAGTTTCCATCCTCACAGTGATCTGCAGATTGTGCATCCATCATCATTACTGTGCTCATTCCCACACTGCCTACAAGAACATTACCCCATGCAGATTGCACAGGGATGCTGGAGATTGCAAGGCACAGTCACAGGAATATTGCATAGGGATATTACAGATAGCAAGGTACAACTTGTTTTTTCCCTGAGAGGCTCAAATTAAGTCTAAACACCAGCTTTTGATGTATTTGCTTATTCAGCACTGTCAGTTGCTTTTCAGCAATACAAACTGGCTCTCTCCCCAGGAAACGTTTATCCTATCTGGGAATCAAGGGTGGTAATGTGTAATGAGGACAAAGCACTTAGAGAAAGCAGGCTGAGTCTGCTATATCTCCTCTTGCACTTTTTCAACTCAGATTTTCCTTTTCCCTGGAAGCATCCTAGGTACCAAGGGAAATTCCTGCCATACAAAATTCAAGAGCAAAATAATCCATGTCATTCCCTGAAGTGTAACAGAAAACCGAGCACATGTCAGTAAGCATTAATCTCTGCTGCTGCAAACTCTTCCTTTTTTTTTTCCTGAGAATTCATTTTCAACCCTGAACAGAACAATGCCAGATTCTTCTGCCACAACTTTGTCTTTGCACTCTGATGAAGGATCCAGGAGGTCAGTGCTCCCATCAACACAGATGCCATCCCCATTTTCACAAGGCTTGATGTCTTTAACACCCTCTGCCATCCAAGAAAACCTGATGGGAGCCATAATAGAGGGAAGGGAAAGGAGCAACCTCTGCTCCTTCATGTATATTCGGCTGTTCAGCTTGTCAGAGCCAGTGAAACACAAGGGCAGGAGGAGCAAGAGGCAAAGCAATCCATGAGAAACACTGGAGCTCCCCAGACAGGGAGCACTGAACCCACCCTGAACTCTTTCTTTCTACTTGCTGAGACCAAGCCGTTTGCAGGGCAGCAAGCACAAAGTGGAAATTGCCATACAGCATCCAAGCACTTCCAGAGGCATAGTACCAGTGCCCTCAGACAGGCACAGAAAAACAGCACAACTGAAATCTCAGCACCCTTTCATTCTAGCTAGGCTAAAAATATTCCCCAAATCTTCAGAAAGGCAGCTCACTGCTAATGCACCTGGCTTTAGCTGACAGCACCTCAAAACCATTTTGTTGAGGATCCCTTCTGATCCACCCACCCAGGCACCAGGCTCACGTTCTTCCCTGTGTCCCTGTGCACTGGGACACCTGACAGGCCAGCAAAGTCCTCTGGAGCTGAAGTCACTGAAGATCACCATTGATTCCTCACTACAATCCAATTTCCAATTTTAAGCAGAGCAAAAGAAAAATGGTAAAAAGCAATTGTGGCAACTTCAACAAATATCTTTTAAAAATGTAAATTTTAAACGTTTCTGGGGAATTACATGTCTGTATGAAATGAGAATGTCATTTTCTTATTAATACTTGACTAACAATTTAACTGTGGGAGCATGTGGGTTTTCCTAAAGCAGAAGTGATGAATATTATTAAGCACTACACATATTTCAGAACTCTTTACTGGACTGTTAAGCATTTTGGGTCACTTCAAAAATTAAACCATCCATCCTCATTCCTAAATGGTTTGGAGCACAGATTGGCCACAGAATTGCCATTTAATCAAAATTCATTCCTTTCTGAGTCTTGACATGTACCCCAAGCCAAATCTTTTATCTGGCAAGTACTCAGACATCAATCCCTTTACAGGGACTCTGAGACACAATAGAAAAACCTGGCTGTGTCCAAGGAGCCAGCAGAGAAGCTGAACAGCAATGCACAGCTGTGTCGTGTGCAGCTGCTCCATCTTTTTTATTTTCCTCTCCCAGCCATCTGTTCCCAACTCCTGTTTTTCTCTCGGTGTTTCCA